TGAGTGGAGAATGGCTCGAGAGCAGCCCTGAGGAGAAGGACTTGGGGATGTTGGTCATTGAAAAACTCAACATGAGCTGGCTATGTGCGCTTGCAGCCCAGAAGGCCAACTGCATCCTGGGCTGTATCACAAGAAGTGTGGCCAGCAGAGCGAGGGAGGTGATTCTGCTCCTCTGCTCTGCTCTGGTGAGACCCCACCTGGAGCACTGCATCCAGTTCAGGGGCCCCCAATATAAGAAGGACATGGAGCTCTTGGAGCGAATCCAGAGAAGGGCCACAAGGATGATCAGAGGGCTGGAGCACCTCCCCTGTGAGGACCAGCTGAGAAGAGTTGGGGCTGTTCAGCCTGGAGAGGAGAAGGCTCCTGGGGAACCTTATTGCACTCTTCCAGTTCCTGAAGGGATCCTACAGGAAAGCTGGGGAGGGACTTTTTACAAGGGGAGGTAGCATGGAACGAGGGGGAATGGTTTTAAAGTGGAAGGAGGTAGATATAGACTAGATACTAGGAAGAAATTCTTTACTGTGAGGGTGGTGAGACACTGGCACAGGTTACCGAGGGGAGCTGTGGATGCCCCCTCCCTGGCAGTGTTCAAGGCCAGGTTGGACAGGGCTTTGGGCAACCTGGTCTGGTGGGAGGTGTCCCTGCCCATGGAGATGATCTTTGAGATCCCTTCCAACCCAAACCATTCTATGATTCTGATCTGTATAATTCTGTCAAGAGCCTGAGTGCAGGTACTGTACAATGTATATATTTAATAAGAGCTGTGTTTGGGAAAGAGAATGGTATGTTAGATACCTCCTGATATTCTCTAAATGGGAAGGGGGCTTAGGAGACCACTATAGTGGGATTCTTAGTTCCATTTTATTTCTGCAAGTGTTTCAGATGCAGCACTGCAGGTTTGGGAATGGGGGTTGTATATGTGCAAGTACAGGCCACCAGGCTTTGGAAAGGAATCATGTATGTTAGCCTCGAACTTTATGAATGACCCGTAAGTTGTAGCTGCAGTGCCCTTAGAAAAAGCTGTTGGCATTGTTGAAGTGCTCTATTGTCTGTATAAATAAATAATAAATAGAAATGAAAAATGCATGATATATAAAGGTATACACAAACAGGAAAGCATCTGTCCTCATCAAACCTTCAGGATTTATGTTTTGAAAATTGGAGAGGTGTGATGGCTGTAATAGTTCCTTTCATTTTTTTAAAAAACTTACCGTAGGCAAGTTATGGTGCTGTCCTTCCTGTTCCCATCAGTCACTCATGTGGGAGAGGTGCCTTGACAGGGCTGGGTTTTTGGGCATAAATGCAGCATGAAACACTTGGAGATATTTTTTAAAGAGTTTTTTATCCTGTGAAACAAAAAAAAATCTTTCTGCTCTGCTCTTGGCAGGTGATGAGAACTGAGGCGTAAGGACGTAGGTCAAATGGATGGCAAAAAGAAGTAGTTGTGCCCTACACCTCATAATAAGTGTCTCACATATGGATTTTTAGTGGCAGCCTCCAAGCAGAGGTTCTTTAGGTAATCTTTGCAGTTGAGCTTTTTTCTTTTGTTCTGCTCCATGTTGTAAAGAAGCACAGAATAAAGGCATTTTCTGAAAAGCGTGAGTTTTTGTATAAGCGAAGCAACATTTCAACCATAACCTTACTCAGTAGCTTTACCTGTAAAAAGCCAGATTAGACTTTTTTCCCAATTCTTCTACTTCCACTTTGTGAAGGGAAGGGGTTACCAGGAAAAATACAAACAAGCAAACATCCCTTTATTTCTATGCTATTATTATTTGGACTTTACTAAGTATCCTTCTGCTAATAAATAGGCCTCCTTCCATCATATGGGAAGGGAA